TGTCTGTCTGTCTGTCTGTCTGTCTGTCTGTCTGTCTGTCTGTCTGTCTGTCTGTCTGTCTGTCTGTCTGTCTGTCTGTCTTAACTCTCTCAAGAAAAGGAGTGACAGACATTTCACTTGGTTTACCAAGCCTTTTCTCACCTTTTTTCTCTCCCATATAGGAAACAGATACTGTGAGGAAACACTCTAATTTTACCTGCAGAGGCTCTTGATGAGATGTGCTGCAGTCCTGCTGATTGTTTTGGGGAACTCTAGCTCATCTATTCCCTTCAGAACTGCTGTATAAACCTTCAGCTGCTCAGAGCCAGAGAACAGGGGGCTGGAAATTGAAAATTAAATGTAACATTTAAAACATGTTCAGCAATGAAGGCCTAGCAGATGAGATGCAGGGTTTTAAGTTCATAGATTATTTTTTTCATTAAAAGCACACTTTTTAATTTAGGTATAAATGTTAAAATATCTAATATATAAATATATATATATATAAAATATATGTTTGAAGTTGGACTGTTTTAAATTTTTTTTGGAGTGGATGAATGTGTTGTTATGTAACCCAGTTTCTGGTAGTAAAGAGTTGTGTTCCTCTCATGTTGCTTCCTGTATTTTTGCACTGATACCAAGCAAAAGAAACCGGAATTTCTTCAAGGTACAGTACTCATGTTATGATCAGTCTCGCCCCTTCCATGTGTAATGTTTAAGGGAATAATTCACCCAAAAGTGCTTTATATGATAACTAGATTTAATTTAGGCTTTTATTAATATATTAACATTTATTAATGCACATACATAGAGCCCATCATATATGGTACCAAGAGAAGCTCAGCTGTGCTTGCTTGTCACGCAAGAACAAACATCACTGGTTTGCCACATTTTTAATGTGCTCTATGATCAATGTTTATATGTGAATACAAACCTAAATTAAAACTGAAAGAATTATGTCAGAATTTGTTATTCTTTTTAAACATTTATTTGTAGTGCTGCCCACTTTCTTGCTAAACTTCAATTCTAAATACTGTATGTTAACTGTTACTAGTTTTCCCATTTTTTAATGCATGCTGAAGAACAAGCATTAAAAAAAATTACTATGTGTAAAAGATTTCTTTTAAATCACTCAGACTAAAGCTACAAATAAACCCAGTGTTTCAGTTTATTTATAAATGTCACCTTTTTGTTCTGTGCACTACATTTTGTTGGATTTTTGTCTTTGAGAATAGTGTGCAGTCTTTTTTGCTATTTTTATTTAAAAACCATTACATTACTTGATGCTTATATATAAACCTACAATAGTCAACTGTACCATTGTGTACTGCCTTTGCAAAATCACAAAAAATAAAAAAGCAAGACAAGACGTCTAAAGATCCCTCACCTGCCATTGAGCAGTTCATACAGCAACATCCCTAGAGCCCAGAGATCTGCAGACAGACCGTGACCTTGATGCAGAATGACCTCTGGAGGCTGATAACCCACAGATCCACAGAATGACCAAGCTCTGTGCAAAGAGCCCAGCTTCTTAGCACAACCAAACCCTGTCTGATAGAGTGAGAAACACAACTGAAGTGTTATAATAGTTAAAATTACCAAACATGAATCATCACAATCAAGTAGTTACAGGCTGCCAACTGGTTTAACTTTAAACATAAACTTTGGATTTGTATGTATTCAGCACCAGTTTAGCATATCCTCGCTGGTCCAGTAGCACATTTTCAGGTTTCAGGTCTCTGTGAACAATGTCTTTGGTGTGAAGTACATGAAGAGCTTCCAGCACAGACGCTGCGTAGAAGCGAACAGCGTCGTCTTCCAGTGGCCCCCTGAAACATCAAATCACATAGTAGTCAGTCACTGTTCAGTTCAGTTCATAAGATGACATATTCACTGTAGCATTTAGTCTTTACATGTTTTATTTGTGTAAATTTTTAGCTAAATGCTTTCAGGCTATATAGATTAGGTATAAATTCCTTAAAATGTGAGATTTACTCCAGATAATGTCCTTCCTTACTGTTAAGTGATTTACAAACACTTTGCGGCCAAATCACTCAAAAGAATCAGTTGAGAAGATTTGTATGCATATATCGCTGTATGTATGCTGAGATGCTGAGACAGTATGTACCTCTCTCTCAGTAAATTCCACAGATCTCCACCTTCACAAGCCTCCATCAGCATATACAGGCACCGATCATCTTTATACGTGCAATGCAACCTGACAAAAAATATAAAACGTTTAAATCTTACAGTCTAACACAACATCATTTGGGGGCATAAGATTGGTTTAATTGAAATTAATGTTTTTTTTTTCAGCAAGAATGGATTAAATTGATCAAATGTGATGTAAAGACTTTTACATTCTTAAAAAAATATTTAAAATAAATGATGTTGTTTTGAATTTTCGATTTATCACATAATCCTGAAAAAAGAAATCATCATAGCTTCCACAAAAAACATTAAGCAGCACAACTGTTTTCAACAATTATAATAAGAATGGTTTCTTTAGTACCAAATCAGCATATTAGACTGATTTCTGAAGGATCATGTGACACTGAAGACTGGAGTAATTTTGCAGAAAATTCAGCTTTACACCAAAGGAAAAAAAATACATTTCAAAATGTATTAAAATAGAAAACACTTATTTTAAATTGTAATAATATTTCACAATATTTTAGATTTTACTGTATTTTTGAAAATAAAAGCAAGCAAGAGGCTTTTTAAAATCACAAAAATCTTACCAACCCCAAACTTCTGAGCTTGTACAATAGTGTATCTAATAAAGAATACAACTGCTTAAAAAGGATTTAATTAAATGCAAAATGGGTTTTATTGCCTGATTTCACTGGAAAACCATTTCACACATCATTCCACAAAGAACCTTTAATAATCTAGTTTTTAGAAACCATCTTCTGTATGTGCTGGCGCTTTAGAACTCAGAAACAAATTTGATGAACCTTTAATGAAACATTAAGAACTTTCTCCAAAGACGCGGTCCTGTTCCTCGAGGGCCAACGTCCTGCAGAGTTTAGCTCCAACCCCAATTAAACACACAAACAAGTGTGTTGGAGCTGAGCTCTGCAGGACGTTGGCCCTCCAGGAGCAGGATTGGACGCCCATGTCCTATGGTGTCCTAATGGTCTGACCTTACTATAAATGGACTTTGGAGATCCATCAGGATGTGTTTCTCTGCACGTATCCTCTCTCTTTGGCCTGGGCTCTGTATCACCTGTTTTCTTATGGTCTTCAATGCAAACTTACAGCTGGAGTCACTCTTCAAATGGACCTAGTGACAAAAACATTGGCTGAATTATAATTACTACATAGAACTTTGTTTTGTAAATTAAAATACGTTTAAACTGCAGGGCTAGTTTATGATGCACATCGTACAATACTCATTGAAAACTTACGAGCTGAGTGTGACCGTACTGTCCTTCCTCCAGATTACACAGCACCTGAAAACTGCAGAGAGACGTTTCACCAAACGCAGACCCATCTTCATCTGCCCTGTTTATTATACAGAGATCAAAATGACCTCCATTAACCATCACACTTAGTGGTTCATTTAAAGCATGCAGACTTCCAAGTCATATTAACAGAACTTACTTCAATCTGGCCTTGTTGGTAGGATTTTCTCTGGCATCGTCCAAGCCTCCAGTTACTTTTTTGAAAACCCTGGATATAGATGGTGGAATGCAGCCAAGGTCAGCTTTACAGCATAAGTTTGAATTAGTTATGTTTTTTTCCCCCCACTATGCTGTTACCATAGAATGAATATCCATTTATCCCTCACGGCTCACACTTACTCTCTGTCTATGACCAAACATGTCACATCGCCTGCGGCAAGTGCACTCATTGTCCTCTCGTCATCTCTGAAGAGCAAAGGAACAGGTCTGAGATGTTAATGTTACATGATACCTTCTGACTTGAATTCCAATGGTCCTCAGTGAAGCCACAAAGCATTCAACACGCACAAGTTTGCAGTTCTCTTGTTTAGAGCTTCTGGGGAAGTTAGAACAATGGTTCACAACCTACAGTACATTACATAAGTGATCTAATATATATATATATATATGCTACTCTTTTGTTAATAAACATGGTTGTTGTGAATTTCTTTGGTCCTACACAAACATTTAACAACAAATATCATAATCAAAGTTGTTTTGTTAGATCAGAATAGGTAGTAAGCTGCGATGTAAATCTCAAAGAGTGGCGCACCCTGCTGGTGAGGGTTGAATCTTACCCTCTCTCTACAAAACAATCCCCTCTGGTGAGGACAGACGCCATTATACTCTCCTCACTGGCTGAGTGTTTCTCTAATACTTTCACCTAAGAACAAAAGCATGAACACTGTTATGCTTTTACTGTACTACATAGTAAAAGATAGATAGACAGACAGACAGACAGATAGATATTGTCCGATTATAGATAGATAGATAGATAGATAGATAGATAGATAGACACAGACAGACAGACAGACAGACAGATAGACAGACAGATAGATAGACACAGACAGACAGACAGACAGACAGATAGATAGACACAGACAGACAGACAGACAGACAGACAGACAGACAGACAGACAGACAGATAGATAGATAGATAGATAGATAGATAGATAGATAGATAGATAGATAGATAGATAGATAGATAGATAGATAGATAGATAGATAGATAGATAGATAGATAGATAGACAGACAGATAGATAGATCTTTCTCACCTGGCCTTGACTCAGAATGAAGATTTTGTCTCCTGGATTTCCATTTTGAATTATATAATCACCATTACTGTATTGAGACTAAGAAGAAGATGGATATGGATATACAGAGAAAAATAAAAGCCATGGTATAAAAAAGCTGTACATATACTGAAAATATAGTTTTTATATCTGTATTATTATTTTTATTTTTTTTAGTTGTGATTAATTGGTGCAAACAAACTAAAAGTTGGATTTGATCAAGCTATAGGCAGTGCTTTGAACGCTTCAAGTTGTTGAGTTTATTGACCACATGCTGATCATGGAACAGCAGTGAAATATGATGGTGATGCTCAGTCATACACACCTCCTCCAGTGCATCTGACACTTTCATGAGAACATCCTCTGGAAACTCACAGAGCAGTGCCACACTAAGAGACAGACAAACCAGTGTCAGGAAACCAGGCAGCTACATTCACTAGTGTAAATCACATTAGACTCCCCTAAAGGAAATTACATCTGAGCTTCAATACTAAACTCATGTTTTTCAGTAAACTAACAAAGCATACTTAATACACATAAAAAGTATAACCAAATACAGATGTTTGTTTAGTTTGTTCTCATGACTTACTGTAGGATACACATGATTTGATATATTTAACTCTTAGTTTGTAGTGCAAACAAACTTTCAACGTCATTTTTATGAGTATATGAATAAATAAAACTGAATTCAGTTAAAACGCTGCATTTATTAAAATTAACATATCATGTCTTCACTGTCTAACTTCCTTATGCATTTTTGAAAAATACTGAATTTATTATCAGTCCTGTTGTACTTTGACATTTTCCCCCGAAATACTGGTATGATCCTTCTGACATCATATTTCAGGTCGCGATATGAACATTTCTCTACAGAAGGTTCACATTTCATCTTCACCCATCAAGCTCAATAGTTCAGCTCTGTTACGGAGGAAAATGCCATAGTGATCAAATACTGTTTTTGACACAAAGCACAAGAATAATGTGTTGACAGTTTTTAAGCCATTCTTGAAATTCTAACATTAAACCCCAAAACATTTTGAATGTAACAGGGTTGCCAAACATGTTTTTTTTTGTCTTCTTCCAATTACAATGTGACATTTGTTACAAGGCACAATGAAACGAGTGATAATACAAGCATTTACTCACAGGCTGTTCATTTGTATTACATGGATAATGAATTATTTAGAGTTCAGTTAAAGAAATGGTTAATTAGTATTCTGCTTTGTCAACATTAGAATTGTATTCGTTGCTATTGCTTTTGATTGGTTTTATTGATAGATTTGTTTGGATTGTGTTATGTATTGTTTTATTTGTTCTGTTTCTCTTGATTGTTTTTATTAATAGATTGTTTTATGGATTCTTTTTGCATGTATTTTAATCATATCTCTTTTTAGGGTGACTTGTAACATTCTGTCCAGGGATTACGGATGAAAAATAGCCTTTGGCTAATACTGGTACATTTACAGAAATGTTTTATTAATGTGCAATGTCCCTGTTAACTAAACAAATAAAAACAATAAAAATAAATGTCTATGGTGGTTATGGCCCTAACTTAAAATGTAAAAATTCAACAGTGAAATTTTTCAAATAAAATGTAAAAATAAAACAAATTAAATGTCAAAAAATAATAAACAAAATTTAATTAATGAAATTAAGCATTAGCGTTAGTTCTGGCAGGTCACGTGAGTCAAGCTTGCATCAGCTGATCACATCTACCTATAGGAATACGACACCTATCGCGGCATTCTTATATAAGCTCTATTCAGTATTATTCAGCAGCTTTTCAGCTTGCTCTGGAGCAAATTACCCTCCTCCATCCCCAGCTCCACCTTTCACCACAGTCAGGACTTGGCTTTCTGATATTCCTTGCTAATCAGACTCCTTTATCTTGAATAAAGTGTTACACTTAAATATCATTAAGTACATTGATGATATCTGCCTTGTTCTGTTCTGTTAACCCTGGGGGGTTATTATTGCTGCTCTCCCTGCTCATTCATGACAGGCTGCATGGATGGGCAGGGAGGTTTTTTGCCCAGAACAGAACCATACCGCCAAACCAAACTTTATGCTAAGTATCTATCATTTTGACGATAGTGGTCCTGACAGAATTACATTTCAAAGAGCTATTTAAAAATACATAAAAATGCCCATTAATACAGTATGCATAAATATAAATAAAAAAATATTTCTTCATTTATTTATAAATTGTATAATTCTATTTAAGAAGACAAAAGTATGTCTTGTAAAAGTCTATGTGAATATGGTAACGGTCGGCATTAACCTGCGCAGGAAGTGCAAAGACTGTGTGATAGCGGCGAGTCCATTCCTCTGCATGATCCTCTGAAACACCTGACCCTCCATCACCCACAGCCTGCTGTTGACCAGAGCTGCACACACACACACACACACACACACACACACACACACACACACACACACACACACACACACACACACACACACATACACACACACAGCAAAGACTTAGAAGAACTGGATTTCCAACAGTCTGTGAACTGACGGCTCTTTGTTTTGGTGAAAGACAAATACGTGATTTCTCTCCTCATGGCTGTGAAGGAGAGGGATCAAAGGAGAGAGCGAGACAGTGCGGCTTTGGTGGATAGACATATAAAGACAAAAAGAAAAATTGATATGGACCATATGAACTGTATGAGACAAATAAGTGTGAGATCTCTGTGGAAAACACCAGCCTAGCATGGGTTGAGGCTGATCAGCTATTCTGTTCATCAGCAAACATTATCACGCTCATCAATATATTTAAGCTAACATGGGATAAATTCAATTTTCAGGGTAATATGTGAGTTGCAAGGCAATGAATATCATCTGTTTGTTCGTTATATCAGGTCCAAAGGCCCCTGTTTATATATAGCGTCTTACATAAACAAAGATCTACCCACATGACGTTTTATAAAAACACAGGTCAGTTGTTTGACCGTGAGATCAAAAATATTGTATAGAAATTTAAAAAGAACAGCATTTATTCAAAATAGGAATCTTCAATATACACTACTGTTCAAACGTTTAGGATCCGTCCTTTTTTGAAAGAAATTCATATTCAGCAAGGATGTGTTGAATTGATAAAAATACTTATATTGTTAGAAAAGATCTCTATTTTGAGTGAATGCTGTTCTTTTTAACATTTTATTCATCAAAGCATCCTGAAAAAAGTATCGCATTCTCCAAAAAAAAAAAATTTAAGCAGCAAAAACTGTTTCCAACATAGATAATAAATCAGAATATTAGAGTGATTTCTGAAGGATCATGTGACACTGAGGACTGTAGGATTGGCTGCTGACAATTCAGCTTTGCATTCCAGAAATAAATGATTTTTTAAAGCATATTAAAAAATAATATTTTCATTTGTAAGGATATTTCACAATATTACAGTTTTTTTCTTTATTTTTGATCAAATAAATGCAGCCGTGATGAGCAAAAGAGGCATCTTTAAAAAACATAAAAAATCGTATTGATCCCAAACTTTTAGCGTGTGTGTGTGTGTGTGTGTTTGTGTACTCGGAAGATACTACAGCTGAATAACAATAGTGTTATTTCCTCCTTAAAAAAAAACCTTACAAAATATACCTTGATGATAAAATTTTATTTTATTGAGTAAATTTTATGAAGGATAAGCGCTAATCATTTCAGCCATTTTGTGTGCAGTTTAATATTTGCCTTTTGCACAGATATCAGTATCAGTCACTGAAAAGACTGTCGAACACTAAAATTTACAAGTCAAATTGTTTATAAATAAAACAAGTGAATTCTTAATAAAGTACTTTGTGTTTCAGGATTTCTGTCTCAGGTGACTCTAAAATACAATCAGAACTTCTCCTCCTGAATTGTGACCTGCTTCTACCAAGTTACAATCTTTCTAAAAATAAAAATAAAAATAGGAAAGAGCTGAAAATAGAGTTCCCCCCCAACTCATTCTCTATCACTTCCTGAGACCCTCTTGAATTAGTAATGACACAGATTAACTGACTCTGCTGTCGTTAAGAAGAGAAATACTGCAATCTGTCTCCTCTGCTCTCCCCTGCTACCTCTGTCTACCTCTCTTTTATCTCCTGTCCTTTCCTCTGCCGGATCTCTGGGAATAGCCGAGAATTTGAAAATAATTATTACAACCCAAAAATGCAGAACTGGACTGCAATAAACATTGTGAACACAAATATGACTCAGACACTGAAATGCATTTTTTATTTATTTTTTGGTCAATTTAACTTGACCAAAAGACATCTAGTGTTATAAGGTCACACACACACACACACACACACACACACACATACAGTATATATGCACACACATGGATAAAATAAATAAACAGTTTTATTGTAATTTATGTATTTTCTATGCATCTGTCTGCTGGGTTTAAATTAGAGTAAAACATTCAAAACATTTAACATTTAATGGGGAAATATGTTAAACCCAATCCGGTTTTCTCATGTTTTGACTTGTTGCAAAAATTGTTTTATTCAATTCAACCTGACTGAGGAAACTTAAGCAGCATGTAAAGCACAAAAACATAATTTTTCCACTTTTCAAGGTTCCCTAATTTTATAACAGCATAACAGCATCATTTTAGAATGTAAGAAGCATGGGATCATTTTCATGCAAGCATATTTTATTTTAATACAGTTTCAAGGCCAGATCAAGCCAAACAGGTTTGATGAGTGGGTATTCTTTTTTAATCACGCTTAACTTTAAAGAGATTGTTTCAAACATATCATATGCATATCTTTGAAATAATATAATATTATAATAATGTATATATTAATACTGTAATATTGCCGCAGTGCTCATCTTGTTGCTAAACCAATTAACAATAGGCAGGTTCCACTAACATTTGACAACCACAATGTGTCCGAGTACATCTCGTCTTCATTTTGATCAGCATACTTTTTGTTGTTTTATAATTGAAAGCATCTTTCCTTTTCTTTCTTCAAAATAAATGGAATTTGATGTGATATGCTTCGCAGCTGATAGGGAACATTCTCAGAACATTGGCAAGCTTCTCTTAAAATTATGAACAGATATTCTTCCAGTAAAGTTAACAGAACATTCATTCAAGGTTATCTGCTATTTAATAATGTTCTCAAAACATTAGCACAGAAACATTATTCACCCATGGAATGTTCAGAGAACAACATTTCCATAATGCTTGCAAAATTATATCATTAGATGAATTTTGATCATTCAGAGAACATTCTGAAATTACATTTTCATAATTTCATTGGAACATTATCAAAATGTTCTTAGTGTTAGCTGGTTCACACACACACACACACACACACACACACACACACACACACACACACACACACACACACACATACACACACACAGCAAAGACTTAGAAGAACTGGATTTCCAACAGTCTGTGAACTGACGGCTCTTTGTTTTGGTGAAAGACAAATACGTGATTTCTCTCCTCATGGCTGTGAAGGAGAGGGATCAAAGGAGAGAGCGAGACAGTGCGGCTTTGGTGGATAGACATATAAAGACAAAAAGAAAAATTGATATGGACCATATGAACTGTATGAGACAAATAAGTGTGAGATCTCTGTGGAAAACACCAGCCTAGCATGGGTTGAGGCTGATCAGCTATTCTGTTCATCAGCAAACATTATCACGCTCATCAATATATTTAAGCTAACATGGGATAAATTCAATTTTCAGGGTAATATGTGAGTTGCAAGGCAATGAATATCATCTGTTTGTTCGTTATATCAGGTCCAAAGGCCCCTGTTTATATATAGCGTCTTACATAAACAAAGATCTACCCACATGACGTTTTATAAAAACACAGGTCAGTTGTTTGACCGTGAGATCAAAAATATTGTATAGAAATTTAAAAAGAACAGCATTTATTCAAAATAGGAATCTTCAATATACACTACTGTTCAAACGTTTAGGATCCGTCCTTTTTTGAAAGAAATTCATATTCAGCAAGGATGTGTTGAATTGATAAAAATACTTATATTGTTAGAAAAGATCTCTATTTTGAGTAAATGCTGTTCTTTTTAACATTTTATTCATCAAAGCATCCTGAAAAAAGTATCGCATTCTCCAAAAAAAAAAAAAATTTAAGCAGCAAAAACTGTTTCCAACATAGATAATAAATCAGAATATTAGAGTGATTTCTGAAGGATCATGTGACACTGAGGACTGTAGGATTGGCTGCTGACAATTCAGCTTTGCATTCCAGAAATAAATGATTTTTTAAAGCATATTAAAAAATAATATTTTCATTTGTAAGGATATTTCACAATATTACAGTTTTTTTCTTTATTTTTGATCAAATAAATGCAGCCGTGATGAGCAAAAGAGGCATCTTTAAAAAACATAAAAAATCGTATTGAACCCAAACTTTTAGCGTGTGTGTGTGTGTGTGTGTTTGTGTACTCGGAAGATACTACAGCTGAATAACAATAGTGTTATTTCCTCCTTAAAAAAAACCTTACAAAATATACCTTGATGATAAAATTTTATTTTTTTGAGTAAATTTTATGAAGGATAAGCGCTAATCATTTCAGCCATTTTGTGTGCAGTTTAATATTTGCCTTTTGCACAGATATCAGTATCAGTCACTGAAAAGACTGTCGAACACTAAAATTTACAAGTCAAATTGTTTATAAATAAAACAAGTGAATTCTTAATAAAGTACTTTGTGTTTCAGGATTTCTGTCTCAGGTGACTCTAAAATACAATCAAAACTTCTCCTCCTGAATTGTGACCTGCTTCTACCAAGTTACAATCTTTCTAAAAATAAAAATAAAAATAGGAAAGAGCTGAAAATAGAGTTCACCCCCAACTCATTCTCTATCACTTCCTGAGACCCTCTTGAATTAGTAATGACACAGATTAACTGACTCTGCTGTCGTTAAGAAGAGAAATACTGCAATCTGTCTCCTCTGCTCTCCCCTGCTACCTCTGTCTACCTCTCTTTTATCTCCTGTCCTTTCCTCTGCCGGATCTCTGGGAATAGCCGAGAATTTGAAAATAATTATTACAACCCAAAAATGCAGAACTGGACTGCAATAAACATTGTGAACACAAATATGACTCAGACACTGAAATGCATTTTTTATTTATTTTTTGGTCAATTTAACTTGACCAAAAGACATCTAGTGTTATAAGGTCACACACACACACACACACACACACACACACATACAGTATATATGCACACACATGGATAAAATAAATAAACAGTTTTATTGTAATTTATGTATTTTCTATGCATCTGTCTGCTGGGTTTAAATTAGAGTAAAACATTCAAAACATTTAACATTTAATGGGGAAATATGTTAAACCCAATCCGGTTTTCTCATGTTTTGACTTGTTGCAAAAATTGTTTTATTCAATT